ACAATTGTAGCCACTGAGATGAAAATAAGACCAGCATTTTTCTAGGCCTCATATCTGACCTTGAACCTGGCCTCTATACACCCGTATGCTGGCCCTACTTACCACTACTTTTTTTTTTTTAAAGATTTACTTTTGGGGCAAAACTGCGGCATAGCAAGTAAAGCTGCCACATGAAATGCCACTCTCCCACATGGGCACAGGTTTCTGTCCTGGCTGCTCCAATTAGGATCTGATTCCCTACTAATGGTCTGGGAAAGTAGTAGAAGAAGGCCCACGTGTTGGGACCCTACCATTCGTGTGGGAGGTCCAGATGGAGCTCCTGGCTTTAGACTAGGCCAGTGCTGGCTGTTGCAGTCATTTGGGAAGTGAAATAGTGGAAGATCTCTGTCTCTTTGCCTTGCCTCTTTCTGTCACTCTGACTTTAAAATAAATACATCTTAAAAGAGTTTCTTTTTAGGACCCAGCATAGTAGCCTAGGATCCCATATGGGTGCCAGATCGTATCCCAACAGGACCCACTTCCCATCCAGCTCCCTGCTTGTGGCCAGGGAAAGCAGTTGAGGACGACCCTAAGCCTAGGGACCCTGCACCCATGTGGGTGATCTGGAAGAAGCTGCTGGCTTCTGGCTTCAATTTGGCTTAGCTCTGGCCATTGTGGCTACTTGGGGAGTGAACCAGTGGACGGAAGATCTGTCTCCTCTCTATAAATCTGACTTTCCGATAAAAACAAATCTTAAAAAAAAATAGTTTATATGTATTTTATTTGAAAAACAGTGACAGAAAGAAGAGTAGTAGGGTGGGAGAGGAGACAGACTGATCTTTCTCTATGCTGTTTAGTTCCCCAAATGGCTACAATGGCCTGGTCAGGTCCAGGCTGTGAGACCAGCAGACAGGAACAGCATTCTCGATGTCAGAAACCTACGTACTTATTTTCCACTTCCCTTTCAGGAGCATTAGCAGGAAGCTGAACTAGAAGTAGAGCTGCTGGGACACAAACTGGAAGTGGTGACTACCTGCTGCAGGGTATGGCTGGCCCCTGGGAGGACACATTCTTACCCACAGCAGCTACTAAACTTGAGTCCTACTGTCAATCTCTGTCAAACTTATATTTGTGACATTTGTATAGAATTTTCCTTATACTTTGATAATGTTTACCTGTTATTTTGGGGAGACCTACTTTTATCTAATATAATGTTTACCTGTTAATTTAGGAAGACCTACTTTTATCTAATATCTAATTCATTCAATCATTTATATCTTCTGGCACACTAGCTAATGGGTTTGAATCAATGCGATCTAAGTGTGAGTGGCATATAACTTCATCTTAGGGCTCTGTATTTAACAATACTATTTCCACTGTCACTACTTCGGTATTTGTGCCTGAGCAATTTGACTTGGCAAGATAACCAAAACTCCAAATGCAATTAATACGCTTTCCTCACCAGGTAACTCTCATTGTGTGATTGGTACACAGTATGTTGTCTAATCTAATGCAGTCCAGTTTATAAGGATCTGCATTCCTCAAAAGCTAGCATTATTCTTTAAGCATGACTACACAAATGCTAAAGAAATGGGCACAAAGTTTAAACAGCATAGTTTAAAAAAAAAGAAAAACAAAAACAAAAAAATAAACAGCCTAGTTGAATTGCTTCATCAATTGCTAATGTTGGATTAGGCCCTAGTTCAGAGCTACGCACTTGCAGGGGGTCAACTGTCAGAGAGCTCACTACTGGTTGCTCAAATTTCTGTAACCCTCTGTTCTTCCTACTCTGACATGTTTAAAGGTCATCGACAGTGGACAGTGCTGTGGCATAGTAGGTTGAGCCACTGCCTGCAACACCTATATTCTATAGGATCGCCTGTTGGGGAGGTCCAGATGCTTCAACTTCCTTTTTCTTTTTAAAAAAGATTTATTCATTTTTTATTACAAAATCAGATATACAGACAGGAGGAGAGATAGAGAGGAAGATCTTCCATCTGATGATTCACTCCCCAAGTGAGCGCAACAGCCGGTGCTGCGTCAATCCGAAGCCAGGAGCAAGGAACCTCCTCCAGGTCTTTCCCATGGGTGCAGGGTCCCAAGGCTTTGGGCTGTCCTCTACTGCTTTCCCAGGCCACAAGCAGGGAGCTGGATGGGAAGTGGAGCTGCCGGGGTTAGAATCAGTGCCCATATGGGATCCTGGCACTTGCAAGGCTAGGACTTAAGCTGCTAGGCCACGCCGGGCCCAGATGCTCAACTTCTGAGCCAAGTTCCCTGCTAATTGCCTGGGAAAGCAAAAGCTGGCACAAGTTCTTGGGTCCTGGAACCCATCTTGGAGACTTGGATGAAGCTGCTGGCTCCTGCTTTGGCCTGTCCCAGCCCTGGCTATTGCAGCTATTCAGGGAATGAACCAGCAGATGGAAGATCTCTCTGCCTCTCCTTCTAACTCTGCTTTTCAAATAAATCAAATAAATCTTCAAATAAATAAAGGTCAAGGGCAATTTCTTTTCAGACCCTAATCATTCTCCATAAATGACAAGTGCTTCCAAAGTGGTCTCTCTTCCACAAACAGCCCTTTCTCTCTCAATCCCTTATCCTCTGCTTTTGAGAAATGTAAATCACTCCAATGATTGTAACCTGTCTCATGATTTTTCGTATAAAATTCCAAATTAAAAAAAAAACTATGTAAATTACTTACTTGAGGCAGGAAGAGAGGGAATGAAGGAACAAGCAAGCCTGTGAGAGAGCACTCCCACTGGCTGGTTGACTCCCTAATGTCCACAACAGCCACAGTTGGGAACCTCATGCCAGGTCTCCAGGGCAGGTGGAGGAACACGACTCCTCGAGCCATCCGCACCGCCTCTCAGGGAAGCAGGAAGTGCTTGGAGTGTGGAACACACCGCTGCCCTAACTTGATATACAGTTTATTACTCTTTTTTAAAAAAGATTTATTTTTAATTGGAAAGGCAGATCTACAGAGAGGAGAGACAGAGAGGAAGATCTTCTGCCCACTGGTTCACTCCCCAAGTGGTTACAATGGCCAAAGTTGAGCTGACCCAAAGTCAGGAGCTTCTTCCAGGTCTCCCACGGGTACACAAGTACCCAAAGACCTGAGCCATCATCTGCTGCTCACGCAGACTGTAAGTAAGGAGCTGTATGGAAAGTGGAACAGCCGAGACACGAACCGGCACACATAGGGGATGCTGGCACCTCAAGACAGATGATTAGCCTGTCAAGCTACCATGCTGGCCCAGAGAAAAATCTTTCAAAGACATGTCTTTACACGGCTGGTGTTTGGTGCAGCAAGTTAAGCCACTGCCTGCAATATCAACAGCCCAGAGCAGGATTGGTTCAAGCCTTGGCTGTTTCACGTATGACCCAGCTCCCTGGAAATATGCCTGGGAAAGCAGACAGTCCAAGTACTCTCATGAGGGAGACTTGGGTGGATCCTTACTTCAGCCTGGTCATTGCGGCCACTGTGACCAGCAGGTAGAAAATTCTCTGGTCTCCTCTGTAACTCTGCCTTTCAAATAGATAAATCTTTTTAAGTTATCTTTGTGCATATCACATTCCAGAATACAAGTCCAAGTGCCAGACCCTTGTAGATCTCACTTCTGTCATGCTCCTATGCAGGAGGCAGAAAAACGACTGAGTTTCCCAGTGTCTGAGACGTCTTATCAGCTGTTCCCCTTGCCTGCAACTTCCAGCTTTCAAAACCCCTCCACCTTTCCCCAAGCAGCCAGTGCCCTAGCTGCCATCACTTTCTCTCTCCCTAACTTCCTTGCAGGCTCTCCTCACTCAGTACTTGTCCTAGTTGCCTGTGGCTTTCCCTCCACTATGGGGTCTGTTGCTTCCACCAGAACTATTGGAAAGTGAAAAACAAAGCCGAGGTACACTGGAGCAAAACAGAGAGAAACACAAACTGCAAATGTCTACAGCTCCTGACTCCTGTGCAAGATCCCAGCATCCCCGTATTGCCTGCCTTTGCCCCGCTGCTGACTGACTCACTAACCACAATGCTGCTGCTACAGCGGCAAAGCAAGAAAGGAAGCAAGGCGTCAGGGCCTTGTTCTCCAAGTCAATACGTATTTCACGGGTGTCACCGTGTCTGCGTGGCACAGGGCAGTAGAAGAGCCCTGGGGTTTCCTGATCACAGGTGCACACATCTTATTAAAAACAAAAAAACTCTAAGAATTGAAAGCTATATAGGTAATTTTAGACCCTGCAGTTAAAAACAAACAAAAAAAGTTGGTTCTACAGGAAATTAAAATGACCGCGAAAACGAAGCCTGGGGGATTAATGTAACTTGCACTTTGAATCACCACTAACGCCTCTCCAGCACAGGCCCCTCATTAATAAAACACAAATGTGACTGCAGTAAGCCTTCTTACAAAAGCCACATTTCTGTAAAAAAAAATATTCCTGCGGCTCCATGCCGCTACTGCCACGGAAGGACAGTGAGGACACTTGCCCGCGGTCACAGGCCTCTGCCACCCACTCAAACAGCGGGGCCGGCTCCTGGCTGGCCCTGAACAACTCGCCTCCATAACGGAGCACCACCCAGTGAAACGCGGCAACTCCCCGCAACACCCTGCCTCCGGCCCTGGGCCTCACGGAGCTCTCAGCCATGGCGCCCCACAGGCCTCCCGGCACCCAGCACCGCACAGGCAGCCCCGGGTCCTTCGTGGCGGCGGGGACGGTCGAGCTCACAAAGCGCAGAGCCGAGCCACGACCGGCGCGGCCCCGAGCGCGGGACTCCCGGGGCGGACGCCGCAGTCGCGCTCAGCCGCCTCCCCGGCCCGCCCCTCCGCGCCCGCGCTCAGCCGCCTCCCCGGCCTGCCGCCCGCGCCCGCGCCCACGCCCACGCCCGCGCCCGCGCCCGCGCAGGGCGGGAAGCGGCCGGCTAGCCGCGCGCGCGGAGGGGCGGCCTGCACCTGCCCCGCCGGGCCGGCCCGCCCCCTCTTCCGCCCCGCTCGCGCGCCGCCGGCCGGCTGTGACGTCCCCCCGGCTCCGCCCCGGACTATAAACACTGGCGTCGGCGGCACCGCCTTCCCACACTCGCTGCCTCTCCCGCCGGCCGTAGCGTTCCTTCTCTCCCTTTTTCTTCTTCCCCCCTCCCCTCCTTGCCGGGTCGTCGCCTCCTCTCACCTCTCTGGCTGTGCTGTCCCCTCTGCGCCCTGACGAGGCCGAGTCCTCTCCCCCGCACCGGGCCCCCCGCCTCTTCCTCCTCTTCGCCCGCGCTGCTCCGGTTTCTCTCGGGCCGCCGCCGTCACTGCCGCACAGCTGCTGGTGTCGGGGCCGCGCTTTTTCCCTCACGTCGTTCCCGCAGCCTATGGCCCAGGCCGCCTTGGGTATTTCTGCTCAAGGTAACCACATCCCTCTTTAAAAATTCCGCCGAAAAAGAGAAGACGCTTTACCCGACTCTTTGGGCCGTTATCTCACGTGAGTAACCGAGGCGGAAGGAAGGGGGCCCGCGGGGCGGGGCGGGATGGGGCCGCGGCCCCGGCACGGGACGGGGGCTCCGGGGGCAGAGCAGGGATCCCCGGGCTGTCCTCCTCCGGGGCCCCGGGGCTCCCGCGCGGCGTCCCCGCAGCGCCCCGAACATGGCGGACGCCGGCGTGTGTGGCGGCTGTCGGTGCCTGCGGCGGCGACGCAGCGGAGCTAGGGCGGCGGTCGCGCCTCGAGGGCTGCGGGCGGCTGCCTGGCTGCTTTTTTTTCCCCCTTTGGGCGAGCGGGAGTCGCCCCGGTCGGGGCGAGGGGGGCGTGTGCTTAGGGGCGTGCGCAGGGAGACAGGGGGTCCCCGCGATCGCCTGGCGCGGCGTGCGGGGGCCCCCATCCCTCTCCCGTGGTGCCTTGCTGTTTCCGGGGAGGGGGACCGGCCGCCGGCCCGGAGGGGCCAGGGTCCCCGCATTCCGGACCCTGCACGCGCGGTGCCTCCACCTTGGCTGCCTGCGGAGTTGGGCGGGCAGGAGGGCGTCGCGCCGGCTTGCAACGGCCGGGGCCCGGGGTTATGAATGGAGCGGGGCGGGCCCGGCGCCCGCCGCTGGTGACAGCTGCAGAGGAGGTCGGATTCTTGGGGGGTGGGCGGCCGTGGAGCGGGAGCGCGGTCCCCCTCTGCTGGAGGAAAGTTGACGCCAGCCGGGGCCCGGCGGCGGGGAAGCCCTGGTGTCAGGTAGCGAGCGAGAGGGAGGCCTTTGGCCCCTTCTGGAAAAGCCTCGGGGCTGCCGCTCCGCCCCTGCGGCGCTCCTGATTGGACCGAGTCGCCTTCACTCACCCGGTCACCTCCCGGAGCCGGAGGATTAGTCACCATGGCTTCGCTTTCCCGTCCGCGCCACGATTCCTAGGCAGACGGGAGAATGGGCTGGGGTGGCTTTTCTGGGTTACTACCTTGATTGCCAACAGTTAGCTGGGGTGTGACGTGTTTGAACCCGGCAAGTCCGTGGATGTGGAAAACCGCTGGTTCAGAGACGTGAAGGACACGTGGTGTTGCGGCAGATGGAGCCGGGTTTTGTGCTGGCGTCTTGGGCACGTCAAGCTCTACATGTGCTGTTGGCAGCATTGAACCTCCACCTTGGATGAGAATGAGCTCACGGGGGAAGGGGTGATGGGCACTAGGGTGGCAGGAGTAGGAAAAGAATTTAGATGGCCTGGCAGGGCTCATGAGAACCCTTACAAACGTGGTGACCAAGATGGAGAAGCGGGAGGAGTTAAAAACGTTAAGTAGAAAGGGGTAAGCCCTGTTCAGTAAAGAAGGTGCTGGAGATCAAATGGTCTTTGCGGTAAGAATTGCATTTCAGAGAAAATGGGAGACAATTGGGGTACTTGCCAACTGTAGCATGCCCATATCATTAAATAGAGCTAGGTACGTTGGCAGTGAGGGTGTTTCGATGTTCTGGAACACCGATAGGATATTACACCAGGCATTATTTTGTATACAAGGCTTTTTTAACTCAGCAAATTTTTGATATCCATCCATTGCTGCTTTTACCAGGTTTTTTTTTTTTTTTTTAAGTTTTATTTTTATTGGAAAGTCAGACATACAGAGAGGAGGAGAGACAGAGAGGAAGATCTTCCATTCAATTATTCATTACCCAAGCAGCCACAACGGCCAGAGTTGTGCTGATCGGAAGCCAGGAGTCAGGAACCTCCTCCAGATCTCCCACACGGGTGCAGGGTCTCAAGGCTTTGGGCCGCCCTCTACTGCTTTCCTAGGCCTCAAGCAGGAGCTGGATTCAGGAAGCGGAAATGCCGGGATTAAAACTGGCACCCATATGGGATCCTGGCATGTTCAAGGCGAGGACTTTAGCCACTAGGCTACCCGGCTGGGCCCTATCAGGTTATTTTTTTACTTCTGAGTAAGTCATGTGACTATATTGCTTCATCTTTTTTTTTTTTTTTGAAGGTAAATAGTTTTTCACAGACGTTAACAGACTTCGCATGCTTAACAGTTGACATTAGCATTACCTTGCCAAAGTTCATTTGTGGGAATTAGGAAAATGGATTTGGTAGTGTGGACTCCAGATTTTGCTTGGATTCCCTGAGCCAGAATCCAACCCAGGGCACTACATGGTCTTCAGTTGTCATGTCTGCCCGTATCTTTGGCCTGAGACAGTTTCTTGGTCTAACCTTGCTTTTTATACCCCTCCCTTGACAAGAGAAGTGTTAGCTAAACTGTATGTGTAAACACCTCCCAAAGACAAAGTGTGTTTCTAAGTGAGAATAAAGTATTTTTCCAATCATGCCTTATCTTAACTGGATAAACATCCCATCTATTCTGTGTGTAGGTGGCCCTCTTTTATCCCCATGTACTCCTTTCATTACATTGTAAAATAAACCTTTCAAATTGGGGGGTTTTCATTCCTTACCAGTATTTTTAGTTGTTCATTACACATGTTGCAGATACTCAACAACATTTGTGAAGGTCTGAGGCATAATGTTCTTGATGTTGCACCTCACTGCTTGAGTTGCATAGCAGGAAAAACATGAAAAAATAGTGATTATTCTGTTTATTTGAATGATCTGGAGTGAACTGTCCCCAGCATAAATTGGCTTCCCACTCACACTCCCCTTCCCCCCTCCGCCAAAGGCAGGAGCCAGAAGCTAGGAGCTTCTTCCGAGTCTCTCTTGGGTGCTGGGGACCAAGCACTTGGCCATCTGCTGCTCCTTTCCCAGGTGCATTATCAGGGAGCTGAATGGGAAGTAGCACAGCTGGGACTCCACCTGGTACCCATATGGGATACCCATGCCACATTCCACTGTATTATGCCAATCTCAATTGGCTTGTTTTATTTTTAAAACCATTTTTGATGTAAAAAATGGAGTGTGTGTTATGGTTGTAGTATATTATTTAGAACCTACAGTTAAAAGTCTCCATTACCCAAGGTAGGAGTTCTTTTCTAATCATCCTTGTCTTTCAAATGTGATCTAGGAGGAGCTTTTCACCTCCCTTAAGGGTGTCCCTGCTTTAGTTGACTGAGATAAGCTTTATCAAGGCATGCTTAGGATGCTCATTACCTTCTTTGTAGCAGGTGTTAGGAGGTTGTGCTACATTAAGCAGTAACTCCTGGGTTAGAGGTAGAACTAGAGGTCTCCCCTCTGAGCTTAAGTGACAACTCTAGCCGGTCAGTCATGGCAGCTGGCGACTTTTTTTTTTTTTTTTTAAGATTTGTTCATTTTTATTGGAAAGGTGGATATACATAAAGATATTCCATCTCCCCTTTCACTCCTCAAGTGGCCAAAATGGCTGGAACTAAGCCAATCCAGAGCCAGGAGCTTCTTATGGGTCTCCCGTACAGGTGCAGGGTCCCAAGGCTTTTTGGGCGATCCTCAACTGCTTTCTAGGCCACAAGCAGGGAGCTGGATGGGAAGTGGAACAGCTGGGACATGAACCGGCACCCATATGTGGGATTCCAGCATGCAAGGTTAGGACTTAAGCCACTATTAGGCTGTTGTGCCAGGCCCAAACTGTTTTTGCTTTTAATTTTTTTTTTTTATTTGAAAGGCAGAGTGTTACAGAGAGAAAGATTTTTCATCCATTGGTTCACTCTCCAAATGGCCACAACAGCTGAAGCTGGACTGACCAGAAACTAGGAGCCAGAAGCTTCTGAGTCTCCACATGGGTGCAAGGGTCCAAGGGCCTAAGCAATCCTCTGCTGCTTTCCTAGGCTTTTAGCAGGGAATGGAATCAGAAGTCGATCAGCTGGGACTTGAGAAATGAGATCTCCATATGGGTTCTGGTGCTGCCAGCGGAGGCTTAGGCTAGTATGCTACTGTGCTGACCCCGATCATTTCTAGGAATTACTCAGCATGTTACACAAGGTGCTAAGCACTTAAGCATGGGTTGTTCCTGATGGTGATATAACGGAAAAGAGCAGCACAGGGTGTGTGTGAGGAGACAGAGCTTACTTGCCCAACATTGAGTAAGTGCAATATTGAGATAGTTCTCTATTATGTCAGATACATACTGTAATATATTAGTTAATCACATAACTAATATAACAGCCGTTTATACTTGAAAAAGTTGAATTTAGGAATAAAAGGGTATTCTGTGGACATTCCAGACCATGCTAGTTAAAAGTGTTTCATACACAGTTGAACATTTTAAAATTTTAGGCCACCTACAGATTTGGGTTTTGGGGGACAGACTGTGATGTCAAGGTCTGACTTTTGTGGTACAGTGACTTAGCAAAGTCCTTGGTATTATTGTAGAACCCTTAAAAAAAATTGTGTCATGTGACTTTAGTAAAACATACTCTATTAAAAATACTGTTCTCTAGTTCATCCAAATCAGCCTAACCTGCTTGAAGCGCAACCTAACCATTGTTTAACGTAGGACAACCTACTGCTTCTTTGGTTTTCTTCTTTAGGGCGAACTTTCTGACCAAGTATACAACTACCCAGAGGGCCTAGGAGAAGTGCTGTATAGAGAGCAGTTCGACTTCAACGCTGAGCCACCTTGGGAACCTAGCTGATGATAGGGGGTTCCATCTCCTAACTTGTCCATGTAAGTATTTCGCCTTGGGGGTGGGGGTCTGAGGTAGAGTACTGTGTTGCTGTCTATTTCTCAAAACCTGAGATTTTGTTTACCTCCTTATAAGTGCATTGACCTTAAAGCTTTTTTGAAATTCTGAACTAGAAACCTGATGGTTACTGGTTACAGGCTTGACCGAGTTGTAGGAATCATTTACCATTGACTAAAACACTAAAATTTATCTTTAGTATGTGATAAATATTACTTTTTTTAAAAAGATTTGTTTATTTTTATTGGAAAGGCAGCTATATATATCTAGTGAGGAGAAGAGAGAGAGAGGGGAAGATCTTAAGTCCGATGATTCACTCCCCAAGTGACCGCAACGGCCGGAGCTGAGCCAATCAGGAGGCAGGAGCTCCTCCAGGTCTCCCATGTGGGTGCAGGAACCCAAAGCTTTGGGCTGTCCTCAGTTGCTTTCCCAAGCCGCAAGCAGGGAGCTGGATGGGAAGTGGGGCTGCCAGGAATCGAACCAGCACCCATATGGGATCCCAGCTCGTTCAAGGCGAGGACTTTAGCCGCTAGGCCACCACACCAGGCTCAGGAGACACATTTCACAAACAAAGATCAGCGGAAACTGTATCTCGTGGGTTTTGATTTTCTTTTCTTTCCTTTTTTTTTTTTGTTAATTTCATCTCTTCAAAACGCTTTCTTATGATCAAATTCTTCAATGACTCATAGACAAAAGGAGAGGTGTGGGCGGCTGGGGTCATACCTTCCATCCACTTGTTCATTTGAAAGTACCGAGACAACTAGGCCTCAGTTCCTGGAATACAGCTGACATTATCCAGACGCTCTAGCTATTGATACTAACTACACAAGCAAAGCTTCCAGGGCCACTATAGCTGCACCTTGATGTGTGGTTTTATTAAATAGTCCATCAAATAGAAGTGTATTAAAACGAGCAAATACACTTGATAAGTCCAGTTAGAAATTTAGCTTAGGTTTATTTTACTTCTAACATCTGATGTTTTCACTCAAGTTCTCAGGGAGATTCAAAACTTTACTCTTATGAATTGGGGTCTAGTTGACATAGTTACTGGTGAATTCTGAGGTGGGAATTCAAGAACAAAAAGGATATGTCTCTTATGTTTACGGAATCTTAACCTTCTTTTTATCTTAAAGACTTAAGAGACTGATACCAGTGAGCTGATACATGAATGGTTCTACCAAATCAGAAAAAGTAATACAGTGAATAGTACTGTAGGAGTCAGAAAGGCTATAAATTTCCCTCTTGGTGTTGGAATAGTTATGACCATTCCTTCCTTAGATTGTGCTAAAGAGACTTAACAGAAGACGCAATGCAACATGCATCTCTGCTTCCAAACATAAGATGGACTCCCAACGAAAGTGTCGGATATATATATATTTAGACAGTGGGATGATGGACTGTCTGACATTGTCTGTACCAGTATTGTCGGGGCACACTTAAATAGCAGACTGATGGAATTGTAACTCATTGTGAAGAGTCTGACATGGGACAAATCAATGGGGGGAGGCGCGAGGAGAATCCCACACTACACAGAATTGTATAAGTTTTAAGAATTAAAAATATATATGGTGCAAGCATTAAAAAAAGACTTACTTTCAGGTCTGTCAGCCAGAATGACCAATTAAATTTATCATGCCCAAGTACAGTGTATATTAAACTGTAGTACTTTATGCTTTACTATGAAGCTGAAGGTCCATAATTCCTTTCCATATTCTGAAATGCCAAGAGCTGTTGAGATTTTTTTTTTTTTTCTATTTATTTGGAAGGCAGAGACAGTGAAAGAGATCTTCCTTCTGCTAATTCATTCCCTAAATGTCAGCAGCGGCCAAGGCCGAGCCAGGCCAAAGCCAGGATCCAGGAGTTTGTTCCACCCAGGGTCTCGTGGGGTGGCAGGGGTCTGGGCTCTTGTGATATTGTCTGCTTCCTCCCAGGTTTGTTTAGCAGGAAGCAGCAGCAGAGGTGGATGCGGTCCTAGGCGCTCCAGTAATGGAAGGTTGGTGTCCCAAATGGGGCTTAACCTGCTGGGTCGTAGCACCATCTCTGCAAAGTAATTCCCTTATAGCTTCCTTGATGTGCCCTAAACTAATTTTAGAAAATAAACCTGACCTGAATCTGTCTTGACCTGTGGCTATTTTTATCTTATCCCATTTAATGTTAATATTCCTAAATTTTGCTATAGAAATATTGTGATTACAGGATGCTGACTCACATTCTTCTGGTTACATAAAATACTGTCTGGTCCCAAAAGTTTCTTGAATTAATTTTAAAGGTGTGTGGGGCAAGAGAAATTTCCTTATCCCAGAAATGTGTTATTTAAGACTTTCTTTGCCTGGTTGTCATAACTCGCCTGTTAACGTAGGAAGTTCATAAAAACATCAGCATTTTGTAAATTGACGCTCTGCCTTCTAATTATTTTGAATTTATACGTCTTAACAGGCCTTGCACTCTTTAACCAACATGAATTTGCTAATGCTACTTTTTAAAGGTATTTCAATCCCATTGGCATGGAGAAAGTAATATTTAAGTGATGTCTTACAAATAAATGGTGTCTCTGTATTAGCACAGTGTGAAAAAATGGCACATGGATGGATAAAGAAGGTTTTGGGGCCGTGATATTCTTGCTTTGGGAAAATTGGAATGTTTTCAGAGAGAGCTAAAGAGATTACAGGGCATAGAAGACAGCTCTTGCATTAATTCTAAAGGATAGTTGATATTCTGTATGCTTTGTTAAGATAATCTACATCCGTTCTTATGGAGTTTTTCATATCTTGTATATTTTCCTGAAAAGTAAGGATTACTTAACTCCCAACTATTACAAATGAAGTGTTACAGAAACATTAAACTATAAAACTTAAGTGGTAGGCTGCTATTCCAAGCTGGTTATTGCTCAGATGGCCTGAGGAGGCTGTCCTAATTGAAGTACTCACATACTGGTAAGGCCCAGAAAACAGATAATGTCCTTCACCTTCATTCCAAAATTCTCCATGCCCACTTAAGGGATTTTTCACATGGTAAGAAGCAGAGCTTCAGCCGTCCAGTTCTCTAACCTGTATTCTTCATGTTATACTGATTTAATAGGACTAGTCAAGCCATATCCAGCTATTATATGTTACGAAGTGTTAACAGCCAACTTCACTTAGAGCAGCAGTCAAGACAGCACATTGTAGAATACCCTGCCCTAAACTGTGTCTGGTGTAAGCGCATAGTTCAAGTCTATTCAGGACTTGATATGAAGTTTTTTTTACTGTTTGCTCACATAGGCATTGTGCTGTAAGCTTTGGGTTGATTTTTGTTTGCTTTTTTAAATTCTGATGTATGCAGACTTAATCTCTACCATGGAAAAGGTACCCTCTAGAACTTTTTTCCCCCCCAAAATGTATTTTATTTTAAAGGCAGAGATCTTCACCTGCTGGTTCACTCTCCAAATGGCTGCAGCAGCTGGCGCTGGGCCAAGCTGAAGAAGCCAGGAGTTTTCCAGTCTCCCACATGGGTACAAGGGCCCAGGCACTGGATCAGAAGTAGAGCAGCCAGGATTTAAACTGGTGCCGATAAGAGATTCCAGTCCTACAGGCAGCAACTTTACTTGCTGTGTCACAGCACCAGCTGTTGAACATCTCTTCAGAACAGTAGCTACTAGACATATTGTAGCTATGGATTTAATAAAGCTGAATTAAATTAGAGATTTACATTCTAATGTAGATGTAAAACCCACATATGTAGCTGGTTATTGGCTGTTGCTTTGGACAGTACCAATAGAGGACATTGTAGTCATCCACAGAAAGTTCTGTTGAACAGCAGTACTCTGGGATAGTTTTTAGGAATGGAGGAACATTAGCCGTAATTTTTTAGTTTCTTAAAAGCATATGCTTAGGAAACAGCTCCTTACTATTTGTATGTGCTTCTATAGGTTGAATTTAATATTAATTTTATGCTGACCTTAGTTAATTTCTATGTCTGTTGTTTGCAAGGATTTCCTAACACTAGCTTTTATTTTCTTTGTATTCAGTGTAGTCAGCCTGTGTTTGGGATCATCAGAGCTAGGAAAGGATATCACAGCATGATAACAAAGGGCCTGGCACGGTAGCCTAGTGGCTAAATCTTGGCCTTGTGCATGCCAGGATCCCATATGGGTGCTGGATTCATATCCCAGCTGTTCCACTTCCTTCCATCTCCCTGCTTGTGGCATGGGAGAGCAGTAAAGCATGGCCTAAAGCCTGGGAACCCACATGGGAGACCCGGAAGAAAGTCCTGGCTTTGAATCAGCTGAGCTTCACCCATTGTGACCACTTGGGGAGTAAACCAGCAGATGGAACAGGAATATCTGTCTCTCCTTCGCTCTAAAAAATCTGGCCTTCCAATAAAAATAAATCTTTTTAAAATATGTTAACAAGGACGCAAACAATAATCCCAAATACAGAGATTTCTGGGGAGGGGAAGCGTGTTTCTGAATATTTCTTATTAATCCAATAAGAAAAAGCAATGATGTATGTTTTAAAACTGTTACTAACCCAGCAGTGTAGCTGTTGTACGCGGTTACATGCTCTGAACTCCAGCACCTAGACCAGTACTGCTTACCTGTCAGGATAGAGCCTCTTACCAGAAAGGGAAGTGTCACACTGCCAGATTCTAGGTCGAATACAATCAACTGTTAAGTAATAAGCAGTTGTTTGAAAAATTGCAAACAACATCTAAAGGAGTTAGAGCAAACACCTGGGAGATTTACACAGGGGACTGTTTATTTGGAAGGCAGAGGCACAGAGCTGACTCGCTCCCATCCTGGTGTCCCACGTGGGTGGCAGGGCCCAGTCACTTGGAGGATCATCATCTGCTATCCAGAATCGTTTGCAGGATGCTAGATCACAAGCATTGTGGTCAGAACTGGAGCCAGAGCTCTGATGGAGTTGCTGATAGTGCAGGGGCAGTTTAACCTGCCGTAATGTCATACCTACGTGTAACTTTAATGCATAATGAAGACAAATTTTCATTGAGCATAGACATCGGATGGACAATGAGATCTTACTGAGATAAATAGGGTTATTTGCTGTGCTGCATGGAAACCAGCAAAGCTAGAAAATTTGCACTTAATATGCATCTCAGTTACCAAAAGTAGTTAAGTATTTAACTTGTGTTTAAGTATACACCATCTCCAGAAAAATGTTTAGTCTTTATATCAAATAATCAAGAATTGCCTAAGAGTACCTGATCATGCCTTTTCCATTTGTAAAAACGATGCAGATTGCTGTGAAAATCGGCAATCAGTGAAAATTTTCTCATTAAGGTATGTTTTAGCATTTATTTTGAGGCAATTTTGTTTAGGTAGCCTTTGCACAGTCACTTTGGGTATCTTTATGCTTTTCTTAAGTATAGCATGTTTATTCTTACTCCCTTTTTGAAAAATTCTTCAGTGGTCACCTTTGGTGTTCTTTCTTAGGGTTATTTAGCTTTTTTTCAGCCTCATCACCTGAAAAAACTCAACGTAGGCCTGCCACTTGTTTTTGCTCCAATATGGCAAAAGTTCATCCTTTTTTTGTTATCTGACTTGCTCCGGGCCTCAAATATGTTAAGTCAGTCATCTTTTTCAAGTCTTTCTAGTGCTCTTTCGGGCAGTCATTTATAATTATTTATAAAGATATTCTGTATGGGTAAGTAATTTTTTTGTTTGTTTCTCTTATAGGTAGAATGTAGAGGGAATTTAAATTGTCTATTTTTTGTAAAATTGTGAGCTGAGTACTGAGTGATGGAGTGTTGTATGAAAATAAAGGGGACACTGCCAGTAGGCATCATTAAGAGTTGTGTAAATTTCAAAGTCCCTCTTAAGTTCTCATTTTTAATGAGGCAGAAGCGGTGCTCGCCAGGAGCACTGGTGTGTTAGGGTTGGGTTTCCTGCGTAGGTGTCTGGGAAGCCGTACTCTCCGCCTTTCAGCTCTCCCTGTTCTACTTCCAGGGAGCTCTTCACTGCAGAAACCCAAGACTCATATTCATCCAGCTTGGTGTCAAGTGGGCTGTGCTGCCAGAATTATCTTGTGATTATTTGAGAGATGTGTCAGTTTCTTCTGAAGTACAATCAACTGTAGACGCCTTTGTAGCAGGTGTGTAACAAGGCAAGTGCCCAGCTGCTGCAGCCACTGCTCCTGGATCTCCACTCAGGAACAGGAGGGCTGAGTGCCCTCAGGAAAGGCTCCAGGGAGCAGTGAACGATTCTTTGGAACCTTTTTCTTTCGGCAGCTCTTCATGACCATGTGTTCTCCAAACACACCAATACAGCGGTGTAAATAAGGGTTACTGTTGTGCTTTTTTTTTTCCCTTGCCATATATGATCCAAAAGGCATCTTATTCCGTGAAAGTAGTATTGGGATTATAGCTATTGTTAGCAAAATAACATGAACTTTTGAAATATGTATTAATAAGGTCTTTGATTGTGAAAATAGTTTTAAAGTGCTTGTGAGTAAAGAATACTTACTGTGTATTACAAACGCCCAAATTTTTGTTAACAGTAAAATTGCTCTTCTGTTTTGAAGAGAATCTTAAAACTTGCTTTGAATAGATTTTGGAAAGTGTGATGAAACTAATTCAAGGTCCAGCAGCATCAGGCTGTAGTACAATACTGATCCATTATGTGTTGGAGCCAATTAGTGTTATTTCTTAATCTGTAAGCCAGATAACAAGATGTGGTGTTAGTTGGGGGTTGTCATCATTGTCAGCAAGAATTGCAGAGACTTGGTCTGTCTCTGTAAGCTGGGCTTGCCTTCTTAGTGGAGGGTATGGTGAAGTCTTGGGAACTGAAGTGTGGTGACGTGGGCCTGGAATGTGGTGCTGTTACCTCCCAGCATGTGTCATTCACACTGGCTCTTCAGAACATGCCGCATCTCGAGATTTTGGTTTAACACATGATTCACCAGTTAATTTTAGTAAAATATTAGTGTTTTAAATAGAGCAAAAATGTGAGAACCTAGACCCTTGTGATCAGGGGAGCTGTGATATATTTTGGCCTACCATGTTAAGAAACTTGCAGGAGAATGATTTTAAACCACATTTTAGAACTCCTTTATATTTGGGGCTTTGAAAGTAAGAAAGACTAAGGATCATCCCATCCTTATCCACCTGAAAATTACTAGAAACTTTGAGCTTCCAGATGATTTGAACAGTTTGTTGCCCAAAATGTATTAGAAAACCTGTCTCCTACAAGTGTTTATATTCTGCAGATTCCAAGGAGTTAGTTTTTCCTGGGTCTGGGAAGGTGTTACCAGTCAGATAGTCCAGCTTTGAACTTACATGTGGATCACTTGTCTATAAAGGTTATGGACTGTTAGAGATGTGAAAGGTGGGCCTTTGTTTTTAACACACTTTTGGGGAATTTGTTATCATTACTTGTTCCTGAGAGAGACCTCACTCTGGTCTAGGAATTTGTATGAATCCCAAAGCCTTCAGACTGCATACAGTATAATCAACTATCTTCGTGTTAATCTAATTAAGGATATCAAATAACACTGGCATGTAATGCATCTTTTAGTGCACTTGAATTTGCCTTAGTCCTTTTTTGTTGAAAACTGCTAATAGAGCAAATGAATTTTATTGTAATAGAGTCTTTTTGTCAGTTTGGTTAACTACATTGCAATTTCTTCTGAAGTGACCATTCCATTTCAAAGATGAATCCTCACTTCATAAGCATTATATCTTTCCTTTAGAGCAGTACTTGATTTTCATATTTGTACTCCTTGGTGTATGTTTTTATTCATTGTGATCCCATTATTTGTCAACTTTTAGATTTTGAGTTGACATTTAAAATTATTTCACTTGTATGAAATGAGTTTGTAGTGTCAAGAAGCAGGTGTCTGGTTGGCTTAATTGTGTGGATGAAATCAGATTTACTACCAAAAGCACTTGATAATACGGTTGTGGAGATGTGCCAGTAGAAGAAATAGTTTAAGGTTCAGGATCTACTTATCTAAAATCAAAGAATAAAATAAATGGAATCATAAAGGAAAATAGAAAGGCCTAGGTGTAATAGGAGATTTATTATAGCAAGAGTAAATTTAGAGTTTATTCACTACCTATGGGAGTTTAATATGCCTCAAAGTGGTTACTTGATTTGGGAAATGTAATAATTTTATTATGAGAGCTCTGTTGGATTTCCTCTCCCTCTGCTCCTCAGAAGAAGACATCCTGTGCTTTATAGGAATGAGGTATTGGGAGCACCATATTGTCTGCTTTGCTTAAACACAGTTTGATTACAAACTTGTCTGTGCCTCAGTGTCTTCATCTGTAGAATGGGGATAGCGTGTACCATTGTGATTTTAAGGATTCAGAGAATTGATACTAAGAGCAGTATCTAGTATATTGCTAAGAACATGCCTGCTATGCCTGCTATGATACCTAAGCTAGTTTAGCAGCCAGAAGGAGTTGAACCTACTAGATTATGTTGCTTGAGAGTAGTTGAGAAATAGTCTGCTCTTGTGCTCTTACTACTCCAGAAAAAGCTCTGAAGAACGTGGCAGTCAGCAAGAAAGGCACAGTCTGTTCTGGTAACAGTTGGGGAGCTGAGTGAGAGGCAGAGGGCCACCCTGCAGCTGTAGGGAATGGAGACTGAGTCTTGTTCTGATGGGAATTTTCTGCTCATGGGAGCATTTAGTCGCCTGCAGTGGTTCCTGATTGGATAATCAAGTGTTTTTAAGCAAAACATATGGCAAAGAATTTGTGGAAATTGATAAATGTTTTGGTGCAAAACATTTTAAAATCGATGGATATGAGGGTTCTTCAAAAAGTTCATGAAAAACACATGAAGTAAATTTCAAAACTTCTTGCACCTAAATAATCGTTACTCATTACTGCTTTGACATTTACCTCTTTAAGTGGCCTTGTATTGCTCTTGATGCTTGCTTGAATGTTATTCTAGAATTCTTCTTATCTTTTGCTTAAAGTAGACACCCTTACTCTGATCAGATTTAATCGTTAGTCATGTAGCGGCCTTTAGAAGAATGCTAAGTTGTGCTTTGACTTACTGCCTGAGTGTTAGATTTCATGCAGATAAGCATAAAATAACTTCTTTGGTAAAACGAAAATATTCCTCAACTTTTTTGTCTCTGCCACAGCAAGAAAGAGATTTGACAGTTCAACTAAATGTAATTAGGTCCTTGGGATATGAACTTGGTGTTTAAAAATAAAATTTTGTATTTCATGAACTTTGACTATTGCTATAGCTTATTTAGGATATTTTGGGAATCACTGAAATTGGAGTACTTGCAGGATAAGAACGAACCATCACCCAAGGTGACCTCTAATGTGATGCAGAGGGAAGATGAAGGAGGACACGCAGCATGAATGAATGACAGGTTTTAAATCAGGTTGCCAAGACAGCTTGTGTTGGCCACTATTATGTCTTGATACGCTGCTAAAAAGAATAGGTGAACTAAACAATGGGGAAAGGTTTGATTGGAGAATAGGATTAGGCCTAAATAGAGCTAGAGGGTTTTGTTTGTTTAAATAAGATTTATTCACTTTAAAGGCAGAGTTAGATCTTCCATCCACTGGTTTCCTTCCCAGATGTTCACATCAGCTGGGGCTGGGTAGGTCCAAAGCCAGGAGCTGCTTTCAGGTCTCTCACATGGTTATACGGGCCCAGGCACCTGGGCCTTCTCTGCTGCCAGAGCAGAAGTGGAGCAGCTGGGACAGGAACCTGTGCTCATTGAGATGCGGGGCTTTACTCACTGTGCCAAGCTGATCCCTAATCAGAGTTCTTGGTAACTGAGTGAGTGTGCAGGTAGCTGGTTTGTACCTTGTTACCAATTTTGATGGCAGTTTTTCTGTTTTCAGCAGTTGACAGTCCATTTGGACCCATTCTTTTAAACAAATGTTTTTAATTAATGTGCTGTATGATTTTTTTTTTCCTTAACACATTTGTGTGCATTTACCTGGAAATGCCGTTGTATGGATGTAGTATGTTGAAGACAAGCTGTTAACTTCTTGACTGCAGATAGATCACTAGCTGCCTATTGACTTACGAATTTATTTGGAGGACAGTAACAGACCCCTCCTCCCCCCCCCCCCCCCCCAAAAAAAACAACTCTTCCATCTGCTGGTTCACTCCTCAGTTGCCTGCAGCAGAAGTGACGTCAGTTATCCAATACTCCCAGTTTTCCGTGTGAGTGCCAGGTAATGAGTATATGTTAGAGAAGAAGTATAAAGCAAGGTAGGGACACAGATGGTATGCAGCAGTTGTCACTGCTTGAGATATACTTAACCATCACTAGGACCTACTGCTAGTGCACATCCTGGGAGGCAGCAAAGATGGCTCAGAAACTGAATCTCTGCCACTCATGTGTAAGACCCAGTTAGAGTTCTGGGCTCCTTACATTCACTTTGCCCACCCGAGTTGGAATTTGGGCACTGAATCAGTATTTGAAAGATCTTTGCTTATTTTAAAAGATTTAAGATTTACATTTTTTTAAATGTGTGAGGTGTACATTTGCTTTTCAATAGCATGAAACAATATTACCTGGTTTTTCTAAATAGTGCTTATAATTGTATAAATTCAGTAAATTAGACATGTTGCATACGCTTTCATTAATAGTTCTGTTTAGCTGTTGAAATAATACGAACTTTTGATCCAATTTCTATTTTGACAGTTTGTTGCATATTCTAAGGACCCAGACATAGGCTTGCTGGCCCATCTCTTGTTTTTCCTGGTATATGACTTTCGGCTTTGTGGAATACGGCTGAGATGAAAGGATTCATTGACGATGCAAACTACTCCGTTGGCCTGTTGGATGAAGGAACAAACCTTGGAAATGTTATTGATAACTATGTATATGAACATACCCTGGTAAGTGTATCTGACAATTTCAGAAGAAAAAGTCCCTTTATTTCTCTCTTCCTTTACCATTAGGCTTCTTGAAATACTAGTTATACTATTGTCAAATTGTTCAGCCCATTCCTGCCAAGCCATCCACAGGAAGCTGGCAGTCAGATGTCACTCTTTTCTGACTTTAGCAGTACTTTCCTGGCTCTGTTACCCACAACCAGTAACATTTCAAGACTCAGATTATGCCTAAGAAAACGGCCTACCCACCTTTTTTTAAACCCTTGCTTTTTGGTGGTGCCCATAAATCCTGGTGTTTTTCCACCAGAGTAGTTTATTTGAAAAGCAGTTACACAGAGAGACGAAGGTGGAAATGTTCCATCTACTGGCAAACTCCTAAATGGCTGTAATGACCAGTCCAAAGGCAGGAGCCAAGGGACTTTTCCAGTTCTCCCATAAGGTTGAAGGAACCTAAGAACTTGGGCTGTCTGCTTCTTTCCTAGGCACACTACTCTCAGGAAGCTGAATCAGAAGTGGAACCAGCCAAGGTGCCTGTATGGAATGTCAGTGGAGTAGGCTGTGGCAGATCTGAAAGAAGTGCCACGCTCCTGGCTTCAGCCTGGCCCAGCTCTGGCCAATATAGCCATTTGGGGAGTAAACCAGTGGATGGAAGATCTGCTGGTTCACTTTGCAGATGCTCTTGACAGCTGGGACTGGGCAAAGCTGAAGCAGGGCTGGCCTCAGTCCAGGCTTACGGTATGGGTGGCAGAAATGGAGTCTGCATCATCACTGCTCCCTCCCAGGGTGCATGTTAGCAGGAAGCTGGACTCCCTGCCAAGTGATTTGAGCATTCCGAGTACTGTCTTAGCCATTTCACTGACAGATTCCCCTCTGAACAGATAGGTCGTCTTCTCTCAACTACCAAGAAGTGAAATTGAGGCAATTATCAAAGGTGCAGGGTTTTTTGTTTTTTGTTTTGTTTTGTTTTGTTTTTTTTTTTTTTTTTTGCTTTGCTGTTTTAATTTTATATGGCTGTATACAGCTGCACAAAATCAAGTTTAAACAGAAAATGAATATATTCAGCAGTTTCCTTTTCAAATTCAATAGATTTGGTTAAAGTGTTCCAATGTGTATGAAAATAATGTTCAATTTCTTTGTGTTTTGTCTTTTTTTCCCAACAGACAGGAAAAAGTGCATTTTTTGTGGGAGATCTTGGAAAGATTGTGAAAAAGCACAGTCAGTGGCAGAATCTAGTGGCTCCAATAAAGCCGTTCTATACAGTGAAGTGCAATGCTACTCCAGCTGTACTGGAGATTTTGGCAGCTCTTGGAACTGGGTTTGCTTGTTCTAATAAAGTAAGTTCAGTTTTGTGTTACTACACATCTTAAACTCTTTCACTTGTAAGGAAATTAACACAACAGAGCAATGCAAGGGAGTTTGTCTTTGGATGGTTTTTTAAAAATTATTTAAGTTTACAGTTTGATACTCAAAATTTTCAAGTATATCAATTACAGGAAAATTTTGTAGTGAGTCTCTGTAAATAATAATGATTATTATTATTGAAATGCAGAATTACAGAGAGCAGAGACAGGTCTTCCATCTACTTCCTCACTCCCAAGATGGCCATAGTGGCTGGAGCTGAGCTGATCCGAAACCAGGAGCTTAGAAGTTCCTCTGAGTCTAAGATGACTCTAGATGCTCAAGGGCTTAGGCCACCATCTGCTGCTTTCCCAGGCCATTAGCCGATAGTCAAGGCACAAACCGGTACTCATTAGATGTTGGCAACTCAGGTGGAAGCATCGGGAACTATTTGCTCGTGGTTCTTAGGCTAGAGCTATCTCTAGATCAGTCTACTTCTGAATTGTGGGATTTTCTCTGGTAAAACAGAGCATTGCCAGAATGCCAACTGTAATATCTTATTCTAACCTCAAATTTTTAGCCCAAAATATTTAAATATAAAAGAATACTGTTGAAATATTTTTCCCTTTTAGATGGTAGTATATAACATCTTGTTTTCACAGAATGAAATGGCTTTAGTGCAAGAATTGGGTGTGCCGCCAGAAAACATTATTTACATAAATCCTTGCAAGCAAGCATCTCAGATAAAATACGCCGCAAAAGTTGGAGTGAATATCATGACATGTGACAGTGAAATTGAATTGAGGAAGATTGCACGTAATCATCAAAATGCTAAGTAAGTATAAAATAAGTGATCAGTGACATTGTCTTATTCTTTAGAGTGTTGGGTTTCTCTTTTGCCTTGACAGAAAGAGCATTTATGCTAGGGCAGTGGTGTTTATTGTGATTATAACTTTCCTTAGTTAATTTTGCTATCCTTTCATCAGATATTTTTTCTTTTTTAAGATTTATTTTTTATTTGAAAGGCCAGCTGAGCCCATTCCAAACCATGAAATTCTTCCAGATCTCCCAATTGGCATTGTGATCCGAGTATTTGAGCCATGCTGTTTCTTTCCCAGACTGTAAGCAAAGAACTAGATTAGAAGTAGAGCAGTTAGAACAATAACCAGAGCCCGTATGAGATGTGAGGGCCACAAATGGAGGCTTATCCCACTATATCTTGGAGTTGGCCCAGATACCTGTTACAATCTTAAACTGAAAGAAGGAATCTTTATGTGGTCATCAAATTATAGCCATAGCTATGTATATTAGCTCTGTCAGTTATTTGACAAGTTGGGAGTAGGATGTAGAGATACTTCAGAAAATTCAGAGAATGAAGTTAAAAAGTTGACTTTGGTTCACAGAGGTAAGGTTTATTTGAGGGGGTGGAGTGTGCAGCCTTGAGAATCACTCAGCACTGTATAGTAATACATGCTTCTCACTGTCTTGCAGCAGTGCCCTTGTAGTTTTGCTTATTCCTATTTAGGTAAGGGTTTCTATCTATTTCATTTCACACTTAACTTTGAATGTAAATCTAATTGTACTAAGAACCTTAGGATAAGGCCCTGTGGGCACCCTGTAGAGAATACCTGTTCATGGTTTTGAAAGAAGGCCTACTTTGCACTGTTGGCTGTGTTAGCTTGTGTGGTGACTGGTACCACATAATGTAAACATAATTTTTATATTATGAGCATCTATTGCAGGCATGGGGAACTTTTTATTTATTTATTTATTTTTGCCAAGGGCCATTTGGATATTTATAACGTTAGCCATAGTAATTATCAGTTTAAATGAACCTGCTTCAGATTCATTGGATTTGAAGTCCCACCTACAGTTAGTTACCTTGGCAGGACTAGACCAGATCATTTCAAGGATGTTATATATGTCCCACAAGCCAGGTATTCACTTCTGTTTGTTCATCTTTCTGTGATGGTTTGGGAGGAAATACTGAGTAGTAAACCAAAAGTTTACTGTTGGAGACGTAACTCAAAGCCTCCAAATTTTTTCAGTTAGAAATCAGCTGGGAGAAATGTGTAGATGTGTTAGAGAATGACTTAGATAGGACCATTTCTGGACTTGGAAGACAGTTCAAGCCCTGATGTTTCTATTGAAAGACAATGATGCATTGCTATTCAATTTAGTCTTTTGGGGTAGATTTATGAACTGATGGACTTCATTTGAAAGTAATGTCACCTTTCATTACAGGGCCCAACTGACTCTTGCTGCTATACAGTCTTAACTCGCAGCATTTTCCATATTCCTGTCCTTGTAAGCTCCATGCTTTAGGCCCTAATTGCTAGTTTTTTCTCTATGCAGGATTGTTTTTCATTAGGTTCACTTGATTCATCCGACGCTGGATTTTGGAGCACTGTCAACATAATCAACATACTTCCTACAACCTTCAGGCTTCATATAAAGATGATGATGTAAACCAACTCTGCCCCAATCATCTTCCCCTTCTCTTAGGGTCTTACTACATATTGCAACAGAAGACAATATTGGAGGTGGAGAAGGTAGCATGAAGTTTGGCACCTCACTGAAGAACTGTAGGCATCTCTTGGAATGTGCTAAGGAACTTGATGTCCAAATAATTGGAGTTAAGTAAGTACTTGTTTTAAATTTTGTGGTATGGTGATAGGTCTTACTGGTTGTTGATGCAGGACTTTATTTTCATGACATCAAAGATTTGACTTTCGGTCTTTAAATATGCATTAGATTTATCTAAGAAAGGCAAATGTTTTCCAAGGTAAGTGCACCTCCTCCCTTGCCTGTACCCCACCCCTCTCCCAGAGACAAAGTGGTCCATAGGTTAATGTATGATTGAAGTCCATATTAAAATGATAGTCAAGTGGCTGGCTCAGTGGTGTAGTGTGTAAGGCTGCCACCTAAGACCTCACCCTCACACATGGGCACCAGTGAGTCCTGGCTACTCCACTTCTGATTCAGCTTCTGGGAAAAGCAGTGGGAGAAAGATGACCCATGTGATGGACCCTTGCAACACACATGGAAGACTGGAATAAGTCTTAAACTTCCAAAGATTTGTTTGGGAGCCTGGTGCAATGGCTCAATTGGCTAATCCTCCCCCTGCAAGTACCAGGATCCCATGTGGGCACTGGCTGGTGATCCAGCTGCTCCACTTCCATCCTGCTCCCTACTTGTGGCCTGGAAAGCAGTAAAGGAGAGCACAAAGTCTTGGGACCCTATACTCATGTGAGACCTAGACGAGGCTCCTGGTTTCTAGGTTTGGATTGGCTCAGCTTCAACCACTGCAGCCATTTGAGGAATGAATCAGTGGGTAGAAGATGGTTCTCTATAAATCTGCCTTTCCAATACAATTTTTTAAAATGTGTTCTGCTTATGTTAAATCAGAGGGCACTGCTGATTGGGTAAATCTGCCTTTCCAATAAAAATAAATTAAAAAAAAAAAAAAGAAAAAGATGTCTTCCATCAGCTGGTTAACTCCCCAGATGTCTGCAAGAACCTGGGCTGGGCTAGGTCATTCAGGAGCTTCTTCCAAGTCTTCCATGTGGGTGAGGAGTCCAAGTATTTTGACCATCTTGTGCTGTTTAGCTATTGAAGTAGTTTTTAACTTGAAATCCCCGATGGCCAGCCCCTTGGTGTAGCTCTTGGAGGGCCAGGGTCGGAGTCCTGGCTCTGTTCCCCATTCCAGCTAACTGGGAAGCATTAGGTAACAGCCATGGGTCTCTGCTGTCCATATGGAAGGCCTACATTAGGTTCTGGGCTCCTGGCCACATTTTGGCTATTGAAATATTTAGGAAATAAACCAGCAGATGGGAGGTTTCTCTTTCTCTGTCTCTCCTCCTCTCTCCCCCTGTTCCTCTCTCCGTCTCTCCCTCCTTCCCTCGCTCTCTCTCCCTCTTTTCCTCTTACTGTAAGATACTTGTCCATTTGCGGACTTTCCAAATGTCCCCAACAGGTCAGTCTAGATCTGAACCCTGAAACTTCATCTGTGTCTGCGTGAATGGTAGAGGCCAAAAGCACCCCAGCACCCCACTGTCTTCTCTCCGTTCCCAGGGTACAGTAGCAGGAAGCTGAATTGGAAGCAGAGCTTATCTATGGACTGGGCCCCCACCCTGCCTTGTTTTTAAATTGGGGGTGGGGGGACTAAGACCTGAGTAAGTTTAATTTTACTATAGTTTGGGTACTAATCGAGAGCATAGCAATAATAAGCCCTAGATTTGCTAAATTGCTAATCTTGGCTTCATGAAAGTTCTTGCCTTGCAATTGATCGCAAAGATCAACAATATGTTAAATTATTTTTCTATACGATTTTATATACAGGTAAATGATTTTAAAAGAAATGATTAGAAGTAGTGAATCTTTCTGTGCTCTAGACAGTGATAAGACTGACCAGCTAGTAATCATTAAGTAATGATTATTTTTCTTCATGTGATAATTTTGACACATTTAAAAATTCTCATTTCATTATACTTAAAGGTTTTGAAATTTGTATATCCACTGTTAAAATTAATCATATTTCTATGAAATTTAAGCATTGTGAAATTTTAATAATGGTATTAAGTGTGGCTTACTCAGCTGAGCTAGTATTTGTACTTATTTTGCAATAGATGTATTTTATATTTGATGAGAAATTGAAAGCCTAGAAATTTTGTGATCCAGTTTGGTTGTTATTCACATATAAGCATTTCCTGTTTATTTCTGTGGAGCAGGTTGATTTCCTATTCAAATTTGAATAATTAGGCTAATTGGAAAAGTTAATATGCTTCCAGTGTCAGTACAGGGAGTAATAATTCCAGGACTAGAAAATGTGATGCTTTACATTTATTGCTCTTTTTCTTTATTTCAGATTTCATATTTCAAGTGCTTGCAAAGAATCTCAAGTTTATGTCCATGCTATATCTGATGCACGATGTGTTTTTGACATGGCTGTAAGTTCTTGTTTTGCTATTTCGGAGCAGGGTCTTATTGAAGAGAAGGACTTGGTGCTTTCTACCAGTTTGAACTGCTCTCATTACACTTAATATCAAATACTCATAAGTATTCAGGGCTTAATAAGGTCATTCACCTCACTAAGAGGGTTAAGGATTGAAACCATAATATGCCAGAATGCAGACAAGGTCAGGGGGACAGTATACATAATGTTGAAGTTGACTTAGTCTGGTTTATTTTTAAAAATACCTTAATACTTTAAAATGTGTTTTCTGTTTCTAGGGAGAGTTTGGCTTTACGATGAACATGTTAGACATCGGTGGAGGATTCACAGGAACTGAATTTCAATTGGAAGAGGTAACTTTCTCAAAGATTTACTTTATTTGCAAGGTAGTTATGGGGACAGGGTGGGAGACAAGATGCCAAGAGAACGTCCCCTATGATTTTCTCAAATGGCTGATATTGCGTCAGGCTGAAGCCAGGAATCTAGAATTCATCTGGGGCTCCCGTATGGATGGCATGGACCAAAGCAATTGGCCAGCCATAACTTGAACTAGTGCTCATATAGAATGCCAGTGCTGCAGGTAGTGGCCTAAATTGGCAGTGCTACAAAGTCAGCCCCTGTGATTTGAAATTTTGCTCATTGCTACTGTCAATTAAGTATAGAAAATAATGACCAAAAAAAACCAGTGGTATTTGCTATTGGAGTTGCTTTTTTTTTAAATTATATTTTTGACAATCTTTATATAGTTAATTGGGGTAAAAAGGTTCAAGAGCTATAGGAAAGTGGGCAAGACTATTATTTCCATATTGTTTCCTTCATGTTTAAAGGGGGGTATTAAGGGAGAAGGCCCATCCAATTTCCTACCCTCCCCAGGTACCGGATGTGGGGCAAGCTCCGAGAATCTTGCTCAAGTGGTTTTGATACTTCACCAGTTATAAATTGCTGCCAATCTTGCCACTCCAAGCACTATGAGGTCTTTGAAGAATCCACTGATCGAAATAGTCCATCATAGAGTCTCCATTTGACCTGTATTTCACTGCCAACATATAGCTGAGATGGTTGATTGACCTGTTCTGTCTTCTCTCTTTTCTTGGTTAGGGTTCTGAGTCCAGTATTTCGATTGTGGAGATCCCCAAAGAAACTTTGTCTGAGGTGTTCACGGACCAGATTCTTGTATGTGCTAGCAAGTACAGGGCCCGGCACAGTCCATAGCCCCGATCAGCTGGTGGTTGCAATTGCTGGGTTGATTCTGTTTTCAGCCCTGGCTTCCACTGGAACCAATGGGTGTTGTAGTCCAGCCTGGTGCTGCCCAGCACATACTTGGCCCTCACCTAAACCAGTGGGAAATGCAGCCTAGTTGGAGCAACCCACAATAACCCCCACCAGGCCCGCCCCGTCCTGGTTTGCCAGTATGTGTAACAATAGTCCCGTCTGTCCCATACCTCGTTCCACCCCAGCCCCTGTCCTGGTTTTCGTGCCCTCCTGTAGAAGGGGTAACCCAAGAGGGAGGAGCCCACTATTTCCCTCCCAGGCCTCCCATCCCAGCTCATGCTCTCCAGCGGGAGTAGCTGTCCAGCAAAGGAACCCTCCCTTACTCCCCTGCCGGGAATTCCTCTGCCTCCTCCCTTCCTGGTTCTTACAGGTGCTGATTGGGTGTGCAGTTACATCCGGTACAAGCAACCTCACCTTGGCATTCCATATTGTGCACTGGTTTTTGTCACAACCAAACCTGGCTTGACCCACACTCTGTTCTGGTGCTCGGATTCGCCAGTGGATGACGTGAACTGATTCAGCCTGGTCTTCCCCCAACCCATGCCAAATGTATACTAGTGGTTAACTTTCCATGGCCTTTTCTGGGCTGTTTCCTATCATGTTTCTTGCACTTACCTGCAGGGTCTGTGTCCTGCCAGAGGAGTTGCCCAGGCTCCTCCATCAGAACCTCTCCCTATGCCAGATTTCATGCACATACCAGGGGATCCATGAGCCAGCCCTACTCAGTTCACCTCTTGTCCTAGCAGGAACAGTGGCTTTTCCTGACCAGCCTTCAACCCAAACTGGTTCTTGCTGTTGGATGTTTCAGCCTAGCCATGGCTCGTCCATACCCACATACAGTTCACACATGGCTCAGTAGGGGGTTGAGACCTAGCTTAGTCCATCCCACATCTACCCTGGTCCTCCAGGACACCAGATGGTGGTAGAGTCTGGTCCGGCTCGGTGCATCCAATCGCAGTCCACACTTGTGCCAAGGGAGACTACAACTATATCCTGAGCAGAACACAGCCCCTATTCCAGCCCATGCACCCCTTGGTGGGAACCTCAGCCCAATTCAGGGTGTCCCCTTAGCTCTCCAACCAGGCCTGTTCTCAGCCATAGATCTCGTGCATGTCAGTGGTTGCTCTGACTTAGCTTGGCTCAGCCCCTCACCCTTCCCGACCTCTGCCTTAGACACTGTGGCTTAGCGTCCCTGGCTCATGCAGAACAGTAGGTGCAAGAGCCTAGCTCGGCATGACCTGTGCTCTGTCCTGGTTTCTAGTTTCACCTGTGGGCTAAGGTTTGCTCAGTTCTACCTGGTACACCCCATTCCATTACCAATTGACACATTAGCCAGCTGTTGGAGCTACTTTTCCCAGCTTGTCCGACCCCCAGGTCTGGACCACATGTTCAAGGGAGTTTCCCAAGTTCCTCCACTTGATCCACTCCCAGACCCAGTTCTCATACATGCCATTGGGTTTAGGCCAGTGCCTGGCGAAGTCTGGCCTTTCATTTGAGCTTGTATGAGCTGATGAAGGTTGAGGCTGGCCCACACCACACCCTTTTTAGGATGCACATTCAGGTACTGCTACCTTGACCAGTCCAGACTGTTGTCGGTTCCTTTACCAGTGATTGATGGCAGGCTCCTTGGCCACACCTAGCTTAGTCCATCACCACCCCATCTCTTGAGCTAACCAGTGGGGCTAGAGTTTTCCACAGGGTTTGGCCCACACATCACTCACAGAATCTACCCCCTGGTTCTAGTGCTAGTTAATGTCATGGCCCTGCTTATCCATCAGCATCTCAGGTAACAGGATATGATTCTGCTGCACAAGCCCTGAGCCATAGCTTTTGCATGGACTGGTGTTCGGTGGTCAGCATTGTTCAGTGATTACAGAGTTAGTGTCATTGGGGATCTTTACAATTGTTTCACGTCCTAGAAGCACTGTGGGTTCAACCTGGATCTACCTAAGCAGCAATTCAAAGAACCAAAACCCTACAGGTCACTGGCTGGGGGGCCAGCAGGTGGAGCTTTTCACCAAATAGCACACTGGCCCCATGGGGACACCTCACAACTTGCATGCGGTCTTGTTATCAGGGATCCGAGCATGGAGATACCCCATCCTGAGACCCACCAGCAGCTGGGAGGCTGCTGGAAGTTTAAACTCCAGAGTTGCTTTTAATTTTTTTAATTAATGTCTTTGGTCAGTTAGTAAACTGATTTAAAAACCTGCCTTAGGGCCTGTCGCAGTGGGCTAGCAGCCAAAGGCCTCGCCTTGAATACACCAGGATCCCTTATGGGCACTGGTTCTAACCCCAGCAGCCCCACTTCCCATCCAGCTCCCTGCTTGTGGCCTGGATGGCCTAAATCCTTGGGACCCTGTACCTGTGTGGGAGACCCAGAAGAGTTCTCTGGCTGTTGCAGTCACTTGGGGAGTGAATCATCGGACAGAAGATCTTCTTCTCTGCCTCTCCTCCCTTATATATCTGACTTTGCAATAAAAACCTATAAATCTTAAAAAAAAAAAAACTGCCTAATGAGCTGCTAAGTTGATAAGCTTTATAGTCTTATTGAAACTGCTGGAAAGTGCAGTTATCAATTAATATTGTGAAGTGTTTTCCTAAATATTGAAGCCATAATCTGGAATTTTAAATCCATAGGTTAATCATGTTATCAGCCCTCTGTTGGATGCCTACTTTCCGGAAGGATCTGGTATTAAAATCATTTCAGAACCTGGCAGCTACTATGTGTCTTCTGCATTCACACTTGCAGTTAATATCATTGCAAAGAAAGTTGTTGAAAATGATAAATTTTCTGCTGGAGGTGAGTTGTAAAGTTCAGTTTTGTTTCTGTGAGCACATCATTCTAATTAGTGTGGACATGTAAAAACTAGAGCTACTAGGACAGCTGTAACAGACTAACTTTTAAATTGGTAATTTGGTGTGGCCTACAAATGATACTTACTATAAATAACCCACCCCTGCTATGTCCTGTCAGGTCAGATAACAAGAAGGCACTATGTGGTCTCTTGTCAGTGCTTCTCGAAAAATCTTCATTTCTTCTCAGGTGTGGCATGTCCCTAATACTGTGAGCCACTTCTTGGTTTCCTGATCTGGATGTTGTACTATCATTTTTTCCTTTTTCCCCTACCTCAGTTCCATAATCCAGTGTTTCTCCAAGGTACCTTGTTCATTTTTGAACTACACATAGAAATCACTGGATCACAGAGAACAGATGTTTTCAAAATGATTAGCATTTTTACTCTCCTACTCAGTGTATGTCCAGGAGGTGTTGTCCTTGCCTTCAGTGATTTTGTTGTTTTTGTCAGTGTCTTGAGTGTTTGTAGTAAGTAGCTGGTGGTAATTCATTATGGTTGTAAACTTTACCTTATGTCTAGTGGCACAGAGCAGTTTTTTAATGTGCTCCTGGGTCTCCTTTGTCAACTAGGTGTTCAGTTATATTTCTATTGAAAACGCAGATTTATAGAGGGGAGAAACGGATCTTCTGTCTACTGGCTGACTCCCCAAATGATCACAGTATCTGGAGCTAAGCAGATCAAAGCCAGGAGCTTCTTCCATGCCTCCCACATGGGTTCAGGGTCTCGAGGCTTTGGGCCATCCTCTGCTGCCTTCCCAAGCCACAAGCTGGGGGCTGGATGGGAAGTGGAGCAGCCAGAACTCAACCCTACACTCAAGGGATGTCAGTACTTGCTGGTAGAGGATGTCTGTTGAGCCAGTGTGCAGGCAGGCCCCTCAGCGTTCCGTTTTTAGCCTGTTTTGTTTATGGGTGTGTCAGTAAGTATTAGTCATTTTAGTTGAAGAATGGTAGAGATTGCATTTATTTGTTTTATAGATTAACTCAGCCTATTTAATAATAGTTTATAGTAAATTAAACTTCCTTGTTTGATTTCAGTAGAAAAAACCGAAAGTGATGAACCAGCCTTCGTGTATTACATGAATGATGGTGTTTATGGTTCTTTTGCAAGTAAACTGTCAGAGGACTTAAATGCCATTCCAGAGGTTCACAAGGCAAGTGTTATTACAAAAAATGCTGAAAGCTATTTTCCAATTATTTTAGAAGCACTCTACAGGGGGTTGGGAAGGAGTGTACTTTTTTGGTGATTTGCCTGTTGGGGCTGAGCCACTTTAGTTCATGGCCATGACGTGGCTAAAGGAAGAGCACCCTAGCGTTTGACCTGGGCTTACCTTGGATCTGACCGTGAAGAGTGCTTATCAATCCATCAGATTCAGTTATCTGAGTGAGTAAAAAATGAAAGAGAACAAACTTGCCCTTTTTCACAGAAATGCAAGGCAGATGAGCCTCTGTTTCCAAGCAGCCTTTGGGGTCCATCCTGTGATGCACTGGATCAGATCGTGGAAAGCTGTCTTCTGCCGGAGCTGAATGTGGGCGATTGGCTTATCTTTGACAACATGGGAGCAGATTCTTTCCATGAACCATCTGCTTTTAATGACTTTGAGAGGCCAGCTGTTTACTACATGATGTCATTCCGTGACTGGTAAGGGGATTTTGTTTTAAAACTGATGGTGTTGGTGAGGTGATGTTTGCTAATAATTCCTATATAACTTAATTCTTGTAAGGGTTGTTTAAAGGCTAGTTATAATCCTGTTGCATTATTCATTGTTGCGGTCTTTGGACTTAAATTCAGCACTTTGCTTATTTTTCTTTAGGTATGAAATGCAAGATGCTGGAATTACTTCAGACACAATGATGAAGAACTTCTTCTTTGTGCCTTCTTGCATTCAGCTGAGCCAAGAAGACAGCTTCCCCACTGAAGCTTAAACAGGCATTACTGCTTCATTAGATCTGAAGTTGCAGGTTAAGCTTGTCTGGTCTACATTCCAGTGGGTGGGGGGATTCAAACAACCTTATTCTGTTAATTCTCTTGGAAACAAAAATATTAGTAATAGCCATTTGGGACCAGACAAAATCAGCTTTCATTTATAATTCATTGGGGGTTATAATGGGAGATTAGATAATGTATCCAGATTTAAATTTAACAGTTTGTCCTACCCCTCCTTAAGCGTTTAAAATAAAATATGCAACAAAATGGATGACTTAGTGGAGATGGAAGCCCATTAATTGGGTTCCCCATTAAACCGTTTACATACAAGTACACAGTTTTTATACTAAGGATTCGTGTTAAAAAGTCTTGTAAAGTTACTGTCTTTCACCCAGATATATCAAATGTCAGTGGAAGACAAACAGTGTGACTTCATTAGATATGTTTAGTGTATTTAGGATGTGTAAATTTGTGCTTTGAACTGTAGCTTAATAAATGTAAAATTGCATCATAGTATTTGTTGTATTTGACCTAATGTAACCCTTGTATGATTGCAATAAAATTTTGTGTAGATTTAACTTTTTTCAGGCTAAAACTTTGGGAAAGGGGCTAGCTAGCAAAAATAGCTTTGGAATAGATGTGTATATGGACTGTTGTTGGAAATTATTTTTCTTTATAGCCCATTTTAAGTTTAGTTTGGCTCAGAACTTTTCATTTATTTAATTAGTAATTTAAGTAAAGTGGTAAATCATTGTGAAGTTCAGATTCCATTATGGAGAGTTGATGTGCAGTAGTAAGCATGATGTTTAACAATTTTTAACACCAAAAATGTTAATCCTGCATAAACCAATTGTAATAATCAGTAGGTGTTTTTGTATAGATAGGATGCATAGAGTATCTTAGTAAATCTTTGAACCACAAATCCTTTGACTGAAGTGGAAGATTCTCTTAAATACTTTGGATAAACGTGGGGAAGGAAATACAGTTGCAGAAAACTGCAGAGCCCTGATACTTAAAGAAGGGCTGCGTCTATCCAGAAAGCGGATGCTCTTTGCGCAGATATTTACATTCAGAGTAGGGGCTGTGGTAAAGCACACTTTGTTTCTTCAGTTTCTGATTTCAGTCATTTCAAGTTTAGGCCTTTTTGGGTTTGGTTTCAACTATTAGTTTCTTATTTCCAATCTGTTCTGCTTAGTAACTACTTTTCATTCTTTTTATACTAAGATTTTATGGTAGTAGGGGAGGGGAGTTAGCATCACTAACCTGACAGCTGTTTCCAGGACTTGGCTTTTTGTTCACTGCTTGTGTGTTAGTAATCCTGGATCTCAGAATCACAATGGTAATAAACAACAATGATCACTTCTTCCTAACTTATTCTATGTTCAGATGTGGAATTTCTGTCTCCCAAGAGGAAATGTGACTTCACTTTGGTGCCAACAGACAGAAAATTCTACCTATGCTACATAGGAGAAGTTTGGAATGCACTTAATAGCTGGTTTTTGTACCTTGATTTCAAGGTGGAAAGGAATTAATCATGAATTTCTAATAAATTTCAATCTCAAACCAGTAGGTGCTTATTACTATTTTTGATTTGATTATGCCCATTGAATTTCATGGGTTGTCTTAATAAAAGAGAAAATTAGGACCCCAAAGTCCTTGACACTTAATTGCCCTTGGGCTTTTCCAAGGAATAATAATTATGGGGTTTTGTGTAAAATTCCAAGCTACCTTGCAACATTTTTTTTAATCATAATGAGGAGGAGGACTTGTTTCCTGCCTTCTCTACATGTGCATTGTGGTCTGAAAATGCCAAACCTTGTCAGGTGGTCCTTGAGTTCTTCACTATAAGGCTTGAGCTCATGGCATATCAGTTTGCTATATCTGAGGGAGGGTTGTTCTGTGTGAAATAGCTTGAAGTTGCAAACACCACATGTGAATGATAGGATAACTTAAAGAAATGTCTGTACCGCATTTTAAAGACTGTCATAAATCTGAAGTTTGAACCTTGTATTTGAATTTGGTATGCTTAAACACTTAATGAATTAATGTAAAACTTTTTTTTACAGTATTGTAATCTCAGATCAAGATTTAACTGAAAATATAAGACCCAAATGATTTCTGTATAGTAAATTGAACTGTAAAGGTAACTTGTGTGATTCTGAATACACAGATAAAATGTTTTTATTCCTCATGTTTTACTTTGGCGTCTTGTCATGAAATAGTAGTGAAACTTTACACAGCTGCTTTGTGTAAGCCTTCTTTAGGATCCTAGTATAAAGTGATTCTGAGAGTTCAGTATGGAACAAGTAGCACATGCTGAATGAAATAGTTCTGAGGGCGGGATGCCGGTCAGGTACTTGGGGGAGTAATGACTGCTCGCAGTGGAGGGTGCAAGGGAAGCAGATCTTGCAGTGTGCCCCATGCTGATGGACTGAGGCCCCAGAGTCCGTTTAAGCTGTTGGGTAAACAGTGGCGTCTGCATCTGGTATGTGTTAATACTGACCATTGTTTTGTGTTTTGGAAGATGTATTTATCTTTATTGGTGAGGCAGATCAAATTTATGGAGAGGAGAGACAGTCTTCCATCCATTTCACTTGAGTGGCCAATGACCAGAGCTGACGTCATGAGCCAGGACCTTATTTTGGGTCTCCCATGTGGGTGCAGGGTCCCAAGGCATTGGGCTGTCCTCCACTGCTTTCCCAGGGCCACAAGCAGGGAGCTGGATGGGAAGTGGGTCCACTGGGACACAAACCGGTGCCCATACGGGATCCTGGCACTTGCAAGGTGAAGATCCAGCCATTGAGCCACTGTGCTGGGCCCAGTACTTAGTTTTGTTGCCCCTCACCTTTTAGCAAAAATATCCAGGGGATGGGAGATAGCTAAAGTTTATAATTTTACTTCTGTAGATTTTTTTCTTCTTTTCTGAATTTAATGATTCCAACTCTTCACTCTGGCAGTTTTAAACTTCAGGCTAATATTGGAATTTCTGTGTGTAAGGATTTATTTATTTTTATTGGAAAGTCAGATATAGAGAGAGAAGGATCTTCCGTCCATGATTCACTCCCCAAGTGGCTGCAACAGCCAGAGCTGAACCAATCCAAAACCAGGAGTCAGGAACTTCTTCCAGGTCTCCCACACATGTGCAGGGCCCCAAAGCTTTGCACTGTCCCTCCCACAGGGAGGGAATTAGATGGGAACTGGCGCGTGCAAGGTGAGGACTTTAGCCACTAGGCTACCGTGCCAGGTCCTTGAACAGAGCAATCTTAAGACTAGTTGATTTGGGGAAGTTCACTTCATCTTAACCTACCTTCCCCTAAACCTTAGACAGTGTGATGATTATTTTCCCCCGCTCGCGAAAAAGGTCTGGGACTGGGCCAGGCTAAAACCAGAAGCATGAAGTTCCTGGGTCTGCCACGTGGATGGCAGGTGCCATTATTCACTGCCAACCCAGGTACAAAAATGGATCTGAGGCAGAATAGTGGGATTTGGGTATCCCAGGTGGCAGCTCAACTTGTGACCTCAGGAGCAGCTCCCACCTGTCTTACAGTTTTATTTGTACCGTTCCTGAATGAAAGAATTCTTTAAAATGTCTGGGTAAACTTCATGACAGTGTGGACAACTCCTGAGAACTAATGGGAAGATTAGTCAGCTGAAAAAAATGATTTGACAAATTAGTTGGACCTTAGGTTACTGAAGTTTTGTGGATTTTCAGTTAGTGCTTTTGGGTTCCCTGCCACCTTGGATGGCACCTGGCTTGCTTTCTTGCCAGTCCTGCAATGTAAGAGAAGAGGTCCCCAGCCCTGGAGGTGGTGTGCACTGCCAGTTTCTGCTTGAGAGTCTGAGTCTGCTCTCTTCTGGCTTCCATTTCCATCCTTGTGCTTGCCAACCCACCTGGTCTCCCACTTGGGTGGCAGGGGCTCTAGTCCCTGTGTCATCTTTTGCTGCTTTTCCTAGGCCATTAATAGGGAGCAGCTGAGACATGAAGCAGTGTGCATATGGAATGTTGCAGACTGACTTTATCCATAATGCCAGCCTCAAATGTTAAAGGCACCAGTGCTCCACCCAAGCTCACAGGAATGGTCCATGAAGCCTTTTTGTGCATAAGTGGTATGCATAAACAGCGAGCCTTTTCCTCTGGGAAATGGAAAAAAATGGAGTTCCTGCATTTATCTAAAATTGTTTTCAAATTGGGGCTGGTGCAACAGCCCACCAGCTGGTTAGCTTGGGCACCAGCATCCCATGTAGTAGGCACCAGTTTGTGTCCCGGCTGCTCCACTTCCCATATTGCTCACTCTATTGCCTGGGAAAGCAGTGGAAATGGCCCAAGGCCTGCACCCTGAACCTGTGTGGGAGATCCAGAAAAGGCTCCTGGCTCCATGGTTTTAAATTGGCTCAGCTCTGGAGTGCAGGACTTCCCTGCCCTGGTGAACGGAGATAGGGGTCCCTCACTTGACATGTTGCCAGTTAAGACTTGACGGACATGAGCCCTACAAGGTAGCCTAGCAGCTAAAGTCCTCACCTCGCATGTTCCAGGATCCCGTGTGGGTGCTAGTTATAATCCTGACAGCCTTGCTTCCCATCCAGCTCCCTGCTTGTGGCCTGGGAAATCAATAGAGGATGCCCCAAGGCCTTGGGACCCTGCACCCACGTTGGAGACCTGGAAGAAGCTCCTGGCTAAAGATCAACACAGCTGTAACCTTTGCAGCCTCTTAGGAAATGAATCAACCGATAGAAGATCTTTCTGTCTCCTCTCTGTATATTAGATTTTCCAATAAAAGTAAAGATGTGCCAAAGAATGGGGAGGGGGATCCAACAGTTTTATAGCAAGTAGACATGACTGCAACCAATGCAACATTTCACTTTTGGAAAAGATAGGAAGTGGAAGGGTTGCAGTTTGCAAGTTATTTTCAGGTGGAGAAGGAAGATAATCCAGTGTTGGATGGAAAGTTAAAAGGCCACCTCTAGACAGAGGAGGTGGCTCCTAGCAGTGAACCAAGGTGACTGATACCTGTGATATTTACAGTAGAAAGTGCTACATAAGTATAGTGAGCAAAGTGAAAAAACATGAAAATTAGATTAAGTGGGTAAGCATTACAGCTCAAAGAATTGAACGGCTGCTTGGGATACCCACCCCCTATCGGAGTGCCTATATTGGACCTTCTGTCCAGCTTCCTGCCAGTGTAAACTGGGAGATGGCAGCAGGTGATGTTTGGGTCCCAGCACCCACTACCTGCTTTGGACCTGGGTGGAAATCTCAGCCCTCGGGCCTCAGCAGGGTCCAGCCCTGTGCCTTTCAAAGCTTTTTAAACTGACGGAGCACAGAAGGTTATCCTGCCATTTTTGCCTCAGTGTGACACAATTGAAGCTTTTTACAGCCTAAGCCGAGTTCCCCAGGCTGGTGTCCCACAGGTGAGATCTCAGGGGAATCTGGCCGGCTGCCTAGGTCAAGTCCAGCCAGTGCAGTTCCCAGCAGGGCCTGGTGGCACTGGCAGATGCTACCACGAGGTGGCGCTTGGAGATTGCCTCTGCTCATGGTCCCTGGGAGTTGCAGCAAACCCATTGGCGTATCAGAAGTGCCCTGCTTCCAGCTTAAGCGGCACTGTACTTAGGTGGGGAGCAGCAAGGAGGAAGAGGACGTCCCTGCCTCACTTTTCTTCCTCTCTCAAACTGCTACTTAGCCCAGCAGCGCTTGTCATCACTGTTTGTCCCAAATGAGTTGAGGTTTGGGTTACTGGGACAGCTGCTGGAGCCAGCTGTGGGGATTTAGAAGAAGGTTGGTGATGCTCGGCCTCTGTCCTCCATCTTCCCAAGGTGGCTTGCTTTCTGGGAGCCATGCTGGTTTCCCATTTTCAGGTGGATTTTTTCCTATGAGGCATTCCCCCTTGGCATGGTTTTCTGGCTTCATCATCTGAAATTTGCACAAAATTTGGGCAAGAGAGTATGTTTGCTGCCATGTCGTTGCTGTGGTGGCATCCCTGTACACTCCCCAGTTCTGACTGCCTGTTTCCCACCCACCTGCCCCCCTCGGACCCAGAGGCCACCCTATGTGACTGCCCCCACGGGTGTTTTCAAGGCAAGCAGGAACAGAGTTTTTCCAGGATGCACTCCCTGCTCAGATGACTCTGGCTGCTTGGATATTGGCCTTCCACGTCACAGCTAGGATTCTGATCCTCCTGGGCTTGTCCTCCAAGAGGAAATGAGAGCTCCACGCATTACCTCAGGGGCAAGCACATAGAGTAGCAGATATCCACACAGGTTTGTGGCACCCCTCGGGGTGGGTTGCTGAGGCTCAGGGATTGGCATGGGTCTAATCAACATACGTGTAACACGGCCTGGAGCTGTGAGCAGCGAGCAGTTAGCTAGATGGAGAGCACTGCACACAGAAGGTGCAGCAGAATCCGAGGATCTCAGCCAGGTGCCACAGAGGCCTAGGCAGGGCAGGGCCACTAGGCTGGGTTCTGCAGGCCTTTTTATAGATGACCATTTTAATCCTAAGAGAAATGGGAGGAGGCATCCTATTTTTCTAGTCCACTCACGGTGGCCCTGGGAGGGGTGTGACATGGAGCTTATGTTTCACATAAGTTTGTCTGGCTCACAACAGGAAAAGGATGATGGCACAGGACTGGAGTTGGCAGGGCACAGCATGCTCCTGTCCTGGACCAAATGGGATGGGGGAAGGTTGCTAGGGGAGAGATGTGCATAGGCAAGGGGGTGACAGCTGAGTAGCTGGACAGCCCGGGACCCTGATCCCTTTAGTGTGCAGGTTGAAGAGGACAGGTGGCACTGGCAGGTTGGAGGCCAGTGTCCACTCTAGCGCTTGGGTACAGGGCCAACCTGCAGGCTGCCCATGGGAGCAGCTGTGTGACACTCAGCCTTAGGTCACTGAGAGGCCCTGCCCCTTGTACCCCACTCACTGGGACTACTGGGACAGGTAAAGCCTCAGATGGGGTCTAAGATGAGGAAGGGACATCCATAAGGGGCTGAAGCCTCTTGGAGTTTCGGCAAAGTCCATTTGGCCTAAGTGAAAAATACATTGTTTCCTTGTAGGGGGTGTCCCAGACCCCATGGGGGGCACCTTATATGTGCACTGTGAATAAGTCTAAATTCCAAACCCTTTAGGCCTGCAGACTCGGTCAAGGAGCACAGAAAGTATTACCCTCACTCCCTTCTAGGGCTCAGG